CTGTGAGAGAGGCAGGCGCAGGCGGGCACTGCAGGAGGCGGGCACTGTGAGAGGCAGGTGCTGAGAGCGGGCACTGTGGGAGGCAGGCACAGGTGGGCACTGCAGGAGGCGGGCACTGACAGCGGGCACTGAGAGCGGGCACTGTGAGAGGCAGGTGCTGAGAGCGGGCACTGAGAGCGGGCACTGTGAGAGGCGGGCTGGCCTGTGCAAGGCTGGTACCAGAGCCTGAGATTCCCCGCGCTGCCTCCAAGCAGGGCCCTGGCTTTGCATCTGCTCTTTTCCATCAGCTGCCCCAGCGGGTGCCTGAAGCCCGACCCTCGTCCCTGTCCCCAGCAGCCCCGAGGCCCCCGAGGCCTCCGCCTGGACCAGACCCCTAGGACTCCCAGTGCTCAGGGCTCCCCCCACCCGCCGTACCAGTGGCACCTGCGGCGACGCGCCCGGGAGGGCCGGCTGGGGGCTGCGGGGCAGGACGCCAGCGCTGGGCTGCTCTTGCTTCCTAATGGCTTGTTTGTTTTTGTCTGTGTTGTGTCCCCAGTTAAATGGAAGTGGTCAAGTGAAAGTGCCCAGTCACTACATTTCCACCCAGATGCTGGCGCCGCCACCTCCCCCTGGCATCCCCCGGCTGGCTCTCTCTCCTGACACCAAATCCACCACGACAACTTCCGAGGGCGGGACAACCTCACCGACATCACCCAGTAAGCAGCCCGCGGCATCGCGATGGGCCAACCTGGCCCCGGTGCCATCCACTGAGTCCCCTCCTGCCTCCCGCCCTCCAGCTCTGCATCCATCCCGTCACGCTGGTGCTGGGGAGCGATGGGTGTTGTCTGCGGCCTCGTGCCCGGAGCAAGGGGCTCAGGGGAGGGGGCGTGGAGTCGTTTGGGAGCCAGGGACCCCCTGCCCATTAGAGAGCAAAATCAGTTGCTGTCTGACAGCCTGCATGGAACGAGTCTGCTGGGTCTCCGTTGGCTTCTTAGTGGGCAGGTCTTCAAGTCGCATCCCCTGCTTGGCCCCTCAGGGCACTGAATGGGCCACGGACACTGAGCTTCCCTCTCTTGTACCCAAGGCCTGCTCCACAGCCTGGGGCAGGGCCCGGTGCTCCAGCAGGGAGCTGGCCTTGTGCTTCCCAGGACGTGGGCCTCTGCTGCTGGCCGCTCTGACCTTCCTGGAGAGGCAGGTCTGAGCTGGTGCTGCCGGGAACATTCACTCTGTGCTGCTTCTCCGCTCTGCCTGGCAAACTCGCCTCCTTCACTGGCCTCTCCATGGTGCATGTGTCCAGGTCTGTTTCACACCGAAAGTGCTAGGGATTTCAAACCCAGGATGGGCAGGGAGGCCAGACTCCGGGGTTCTGTTCCTGGCTCAGCCCCACACTCCCTGGCAGCCCTTGGGCAAGTCACTTCATTGCTCTGTGCCTCAGTTTCCCCATCTGGAAAATAGCTGTGGGGATGGAGCTAATGCCTGTCCCACGGGCTGGCGGAGGGTTCCATTGGCTAATGGTCACGGTGCATTGAGCTCCTCCAGTGGAAGGTGTTAGGGAAGAACGACGTAGGATTGACGGTTGGAGGATTAAATCCATGCATCCATGGGCACACGCGGTGCCCCGAACTCCCAATCACTGCATATGCAAAACTAAACAGCAACGGTGGAAAGCTGCAAACGTACTGGAAACTTCAAAGGAAGAGCGTCCATGATGAGTCTAACGAGCCAGAGGCCATGCCCTCGTTAGCGATGGCGGCCAGTGGCTAGTTCACCCCTCAGCTTCCAGCCCATGAGGCTTTGTAAGGCACTTGGTGCACTGAACAGGTTGATGGGTCCAATCAGAGCCCCATAGAAATTGGGGCCCAGCTCCCTAGAGCTTGTGAGCATCAGAGCTGGAGCATTCTCGGGGCGGGCTGTTTGGAGCAGCACTGCTCGGCAGCATCTGGTCCTGCCGCCCGGCATTCACCCAGCGTGGGCAGCGCGGAGGGGCAGGGTTTTGCCATGGAGTTCAGGGCAGGCTGGGGTCTCAGATGGGATCCTACGCCCCCCAGCCCGATGTTGCATCCAGTCCATCCCCTCCCGCCCCGCTCCGTCCTGCCTGTTTAAAATATCCCAAGCCATGGGCCCTGCCCCTCTTCACCCCATTCTCCAGCTGGAGCCGTCTACCCGTTCCCATGGGCCTGGCCCAGTGGGGCGCCAGGACACAGCATCAGCATGGCAGAGTGTGCCCCATGGCAGAGGCCGAGCTCCCAGGGCACCGACACGGCCCCGCTCACGTTGCCATCCCGTGCCATCACCTAGCACCTGCCAGTGCATTGGCTTAATGCTGGCTCCTCAGCCGTGCCCCCTGGAGCATGCTCTGCCCCCCCCACCCCAGGCCACGTGCCCCCTGGAAGCCCAGCTGCCAGCCACACCCCAGCGAGAAGGAAGCGGAGCCTGACTGCCCTGCACGTCCCCCGAGCCCCTAGCTCGAAAGGCCGCCAGCAAACCGTAATCGCCGCTCGAGAACCCGGAGCTCGCTGATGGGAGCGAACGAGGAAAGACTCGTCAGTTCTGCAACCACCTTCCAGCTAGAGCGGAGGAGGCGCGTTCGGAACGAGCCGGCGCCGGGAGGGGCTGCCTCGAATATTTCATCGGCATTGATGAATGATGGATTTTTCATCCACTCCCTCCGGTCTGGCAAATATCCGGCCAGAGCCGTGGACCTGGAGACACCCCCAAGATCAAGGGAAAGGTCCCAGCATCCCCGGAGGCTGGGGAGCAGTGGGAGAGCTAGCGGCTCTGCCAATCCATCCGCAGCCTGCGCAGTGCGTCCGCGGTGCCCCCTGGGATGGCGAGACGGCAGGGCTCGGCCGCGGAGGACACGTATCCACGCCCCCCGTTGAGCCCCAGACCTCTGGCTCTAACAGAGCTAACGGGCCAGTGCGAGTAGATTGGTACGCTACGGGCCTCTAAAGCTCTCTGCACAGCCCAGCCACTGGAGGGGGCCAGGGAGCCGCCCCTGTCAGCGTGGGGCACAGACCCAACAGGTCTGCATGGAGGCTTCGGGGTCTCCCCAGGTGCCTAGGGCAGCTGCCCTCAGCCCATCTGATGCCCCACCCATGGCCAGCCCAGGAGCACCAGGAGGCACCTCCTTGCCCAGCTTGTATTAACCCTCCCCACGGGGCTGGGCCATGTCAGCGCACTTCCATGCACAGCGCCAAGCAGAGACGCAGCCTTCCCCGAGGCGCTGAGAACCACAGCTCCCAGCATGCTGTGCTGCAACAAGCTCCGCCCCCTCATCTGAGGGCTGTGATTAAAATGCAGGGGGGTTAGTGGAGGATATGTGACCTAGTGGGTAGAGCAGGGGCCTGGGAGCCAGGCTTTCTGGGGACCAGTCCTAGCTTTGCCACTGATTTGCTGTGTGGCCTTGGGCAAGTTGCTTCATCTCTGGGTTTCCCCACCATTGGCAAGGGGCTGTGGATCGCGCTATGCCTTGGGGCACGGGGCTTTGGGAAGCTCCCAGATCCTGGCATGGGAAGTGCTGAGTGCTGTGTGTGTGATCCTGCTCTCTGGGGGATGGGACTAGACCCGTGTGTCTTAGTCCCTGTACTGCTGGTATCACCCTGCTGCTGCCCAGGCTGTGCGTAACCAGGATTCTAGACTCGGGGGGGTCTCACCATCACTAACCATTCAGAGCAAGTGTATTTGAGACACACTCACGGGAAGTGGCTGCAGTCCATTCCCCAGGCCCTGCCATCAGTATCAACACAGAGGAAGCAAAACCCTTTGGGACAGCTAGACAGAGTGACCGCGTGGGTAGGGCTCCCATAACGAGGCAGTGTGGCCTAGCAGATGGAGCCCAGCCCTGTGCCAGAGACGCCTGGGTTCTGATCCCAGCTGTGTCCTGGGGTGACCTCGATCGTGCCCCTTCCCAGGGGTGTGCGGCCGCCGGTGCTGGGCCGTGGGGACTGATCAGTGCATTGGAGGGGCTTGCCATTCGCCGGGCTAACGAGCTCTCGTTTCTGTCCCCAGCCTACTCTGCACCCGGCACGCCCCCTGCGAATCGTTCCTTCGTGGGATTAGGACCAAGGGATCCGGGGAGTATGTACCAGGCACAGGTAAGAGCTGCGTGCGCTGGGGGCTCTTTGCCATGGCAGGGAAGCACTAGCAGGCTGTGCTGGGCAGGGACCCTGCCTTCCAGCCACGACCAGGACTTGGGTAGGAAACAGCCAGCATCCTGGTGACTCAGCCTCACGGGCAACCCTGGCGATCAGGTTCCCTGTGATCCCATGTGGGATCAGGCCGGCCTGTGGGTATGTGAGCAGCGAGGCCCCGGGGGAGGAGCATGGCCAGGCAGCCTCTCAAGTGACGGCGGGTGGCGTCCTGCCGAGCCGGTGTCACGCAGCCTCACCTGCCGTCCGTCGGAGCCCAGGGCAAAGCAGGCACAGAATGCCTCCCGGGCCGAGCAGAGGGAGTGACGGCCCAGCATGGCAAGGCTGAGGGAGGCTGCTCAGGGCCGGATTCAGTCACTCGGGGCAGGCCCGGCAGAAGGGGCCGGCTAAGGTGGCTTTAAGCCTTGGCTCTCTCCACACGTGAGGCCATGTGGGCAGCAGAGAAGAGCTGCAGCGTGATGTACCCCAGCCGGGCGCCAGCAGCAGCGCGGGTGCCATGCCCTTCCTCCAGCTCTGTGCCAGCCGAGAGGAAGCTCAGGGGGCCATTAGTGCCTACTTTAAGGGCCCTCAAAGCAGATTGGCCCAAAGGGACCTGTGTGTACCTGGGAATTGGGCTCTCCCTGGGAGCTGGGGCAGCCTGTGCTCCAGTGTAGGCCCAGTGAGATTTGTCACAGGCCGTGACGCCCGCGTCTGACCCTGGTACAGCAACGCGCTTGGGTGGTGCCCGTGCAGCCGCGCGTCTCCCGGTGCCTGAGCATCCCCCACGCTGCCTCGCCGGCTTCGTCTCAGTGCATTCTGGGAGAATCTGGGCAGCTGTGCCTCAGCAGGGGGCGAAGTGCCCAGGGACACGTGTGCAGAGTGGCACCAGCGTGGCAATGCATCCTGGGATTGCTAGTGCACAGAGAACAGGGAGCAAGGCAGAGCCGCCGGTTCCATGGAGACACCCAAGAGCCAGCCTGGGCCTCTGGCAAAGTGACACCCGCTGGGCTGCCATGGGGACTAGCCCTGCACCAGCCACATGTGTGCGGGCACAGCCCATGGAGATGTGTGATGGGGCCCTGGTGTGCCAGGCGCTTCCCCTGCCTACTTCCACACGGTCAACTGCTAAAGCAGGGACCGGAGCCTGGGGGAGAGAAGCAGGGTCCCGCTCCTGCCAGTCACTGCGAATCCCCTGGCAACAAGACACCGCCTTAGAGACAAATCCCGCCCAACTGCTTGCAGGGTGGAGGAAGGCCAGGCTGGGGGTGAGCCGATGGTGGCAATCACAGCCTTTGACCACTAAGGCGCTGGTTCAAGCCTAGCCAGGGGATGGTTTGGAGTGGCTGCTGTGCAGGGGGTTTGGGGAGCCCGGTTGCTCCCCTCACAGCGCCGCTGAGGGGTCTCAGAAGGGGGGGCCAGGGTTGTGTGAGTCGTGGAATCTGGGCTCCACCAGAGAAGGGCCCTGTTGCTGCCCAAACTGGGGAGAAAGGGCCCACTTTGACGCCCAGGGAACGCCTCTTGTTGGGTTTGAATTGGGCATCAAAGGGCGGGAGGTGGGTCGCCCGGCCTGGCCCGGTTCTGAGTTCACTCCGGAGCCCATCCTGGACTCTGCTCTCCGGGTCTTGGCTCGGCTCCTGCCTCCTTTGCGTTCCCAGTCTCCTCGGGCACTGCAGCTGCCTGGAGCCCAGCTCCCACCTTGGCACCCGACCAGCACCTCGGAGCCTCGTAAAAAACATGCCACTAAAAACAAACTTGGCAGCTGGTGCTGAGTGGCTGTTGAGCCCGCGCCCCCTTCCCCCCCCGGCCAGATTGGCACAGCCACCGCTTGGCATCTGATTGGCTGGCTCCGTAGCGTGATGGCCGTCAGCCAATGGGATTCCTCCGGCGACGTTGGCACCTGGCAGAGATGCTAGGCGGAGCGCGGCTGGTGGTGCAGCAAGGAGCCGTTACCCTCCCCCCAGAGCCCCCACGTGAGCTCGGTCCGGAAGGGGCAGCTCTTTGCTCTTAAAGAAACAGGGGCTTAAAATAACACGCGCCCCTTCAGAAATGAAATGCCTTGCCCCCAGCCCTGACTCTGGGCCCGACCCTGCTGCGGGAAGCGGCTGGACCCTGGCCTTGCCGCGGGCACACACACGGCCCCGAAGGCCTGTCACAGCTGGAGCTGGGAGCTGGAGTGTGGATTTTCAGCTGCTTTTAATTAGCATCGCTTATTATTTAATCCATGATTCATTAGCTGGTGTTTGCAGGGCGCAGTGTTCCCAGGTGCGGTACTGGGTCACTAGGTGGCGCCCTTCCCTCTTCGTCCCTGCTCCATGGCCATGCTGCCCAGGGACCGCGTGGCTTTAGGCTGGCTGGGGTGGCCCCTGGGCAGCCCCTTGTGCTTGGCGCCATATGCCCACAGAACAGAGAGGCCATCCCTGCCCTGGTGCTGACAGTCAGATATGTGAGGGGACAGTGCTGACAGGGAGACGAGGAGACACGGCACAGCCGGCACTGGGCGATTATTACAGATTGGGGGACGGGGTTCCTAAGGGTCTGAGGACGGGGTCCTGGCCAGGGCCCTACCCCGGGACCTGCTCCTGGGATTTCCACAGGGCACAGGATTCCTTGTCGTGTCCCATCCTGAGCGGCTGCTGTTAAACGTCGCGCGTTTTGGCAGCCGATGGAATGAGCCCCGCTCGGCGATGGGCGTTGGTGGGTCTGTGTCTGATGAGCCTGGGGGAGCCCCGCCAGGGGAAAGGCCCTGCATCGGGGCTGGTTAGGCAATCGCATGCTAAGCAGGAGTTCTAATGGCAAACACATCAGCTGGGTGCCTCTCGGGAAGCCCACCTGTGACCCAGCAGAACAGTCACCTCTGACACGAGTTAGGTAGCCTCAGCTCTCCCAGTGGCGCTGGTTTGGCAGCCCCTGCCGCTCTGTGTTCAGCCACAGCCTGGGCGCACCGGGAAGAGCTCCCCGGCAGTGCCCAGAGCACCGCGAGGGGGAAGAGGGCACGGCCAGGCCTCACTCGATCCCTGTGGAATGCCAGCCAGGCTGCCAACTCGCGCCGATTGTTCCGGCGCCATTTGTGTGGTGGACAGTTGGCAACGAGGAGGCGGCGAGCCCTGAGCTGCCGGGAATTCGCTCCCCCTCCGCTTTTCCCTTCTCCGTTTGTCCACATGTTGGCAGACCGAATGCAAGGACTGTAAACACCAGGCTGTTTGTCTAGTGTCTCCGGGGGAGGTCGGAGGCTGGGAGGAACTCAGGTGAACATTGAGCTCATTCATTGTGGTTTGAAAGCCCAGGGAACTAAGGTATGTGCCGAGAGACCAGGTGTGCTGCGCTGCTGGCTGCCTGCGCCCCGCGCTCCGCACAGCACCCGCTAATGTAAACTGCCGCTCGGGGCTCTCTGCCAAGGGGCCAGGGCACTTCCAGACAACGCCAAGCAGCTGCTGACCCAGCATTAACTCAAACGATTAACCAAATTAATCGCAATTAATCGCACCGTTAAACAATAATAGAATACCAATTGAAATTGATTAGAAATATTTTTGGATGTGTTTCTACATTTTCAAATATACCAATTTCAATTGCAGCCCAGAATACAAAGTGTACAGTGCTCACTTTATATTATTATTTTCGATGACAGATCTTTGCACTGTGAGAAAGGTAAAGAAAAGAAATAGTATTTTTCAATTCATCTCATACAGGTTACTGTAGTGCAGTCTCTTTATCCTGAAAGTGAAACTTACAAATGTAGATTTGTTTTTGTTGCATAACTCAAAAACAAAAACCATGTAAAACTTCAGCGCCTCCAAGTCCACTCAGTCCTACTTCTTGTTCAGCCAGTCGCTCAGACAAACACATTTATTTACATTTACGGGGTCCTACCTCTAATCCCCTCCCCCCCCCCCCCCACTTGTAATGCACTTTCACAATGAAGAGTTTGCGCTACAGGACTTGTGTGAGGTGAATTGAAAAATGCCATCTTTTAAATCTTTTTTACAGGGCAAATATTTGTAATCAAAACTAATAATAGAAAGTGAGCCCTGGGCACTTGGTATTCTGTGTACTACGTGAAATCAGTATACTTGAAAATGTGGAAAACATCCAAAAATATTTAACTAAATTGGTATTCTGTTAGTGTTTAACAGTGCGATTAAACCTGCCATGAAACCCAAAGCCCCGAATACCGCATGGTCCTTAGCAAAAGTCGCACCCCATTCCCACGGTCGCTCTCTGCAGATCATGCTGTTATGTTACCCTGCAACGGGTGTGTGCGCCCTCTGCTGACTGGCTTCAGAAGTGCTCCACTGGGTGTCATAGCCTCTGTAGGGCTCGTGGTGGAGTTGGCTGAAGCGGCAGGGCCTGTGCTCTCAGTGCCAGCAGACCCAAGTTCTGTTTCCCACGAGGTCCCGCGTGGCCGTGCCACGTAGCAGAGGGACAGCTGGGAAGCCGCCGGTACCTACAAGCGCGGTTGCAGGGCATGGTGCGTGGGATCCGCTGCCCGGCTGGCTCCCCAGCCTTGTGCTGGGCTAGCGAGTGGTGGGAGGCCAGGAACAATCCAGGGTGTCGCAGGCAACAGTGTCGTCATTCACTGGGGCAGGGGCGGGGGTTCTTCCTGCTGAGCCACCCCTTCAGCCATGGTGGGGTGCTGTGCTCTTCCCTCTGGGTCATGCCCGGTGCCTCGGGGTGGCACTAGGGGGCGCTGTGGTGTGGGCAGCCGGGTGGACGACTCAGTAGGACCCCTTTGTCCTCTGGGTTTAGTGCTGCTGGTGGGTGACTGGGTAGGAGGCGCTGTGCCCTCAGAGCCCCAGTGCCGTGCCAGGGGAGCACTGTGGGGCACTCTGCCCTCCAAGTCAGCGCCGCCCCCATGCCCAGCTGCGGAGCTGCAGGATGCTGTGCCTGTGATCTTTGGGGTGTCTCTCTCCCCACTGAGCCCCGCCTGCCCCATCACTCCAGAGCGCAGCAGTGAGGGATGATCGACG